TAACACAGGTTTTATTCCTGTCACTGCCGTGCAGACTACAGACGAGCTCACTGTTGAAGTTCAGAGAGGTCAGAATGATATGCTCAGGGTCGTATGGCAGCAAGTGAGGACTCCAGCTTTTGAACTCAACTCTGGTCAGCTTCAGACACTGAAGGCCTCTGGAAGGACCAGAGTTCCAGGAGGGCTCAGTGAAAGAAGGGACTTCTCAACAGAATGTCCAAGGAAGGATTAGGAACTTAAAGAAAGCTATGGCCTCCCTGGTAAAGAAGGCCATAGAAAATATTTTTAAAATAGTTTAAAAAATTGTATTATTATTATTTTTCAACTTTCTGTAGGGTACACATGCATATCAGAAAGAGACAGAAAAAGAGAGAAAGAGAGAGAAAGTGAGAAAGCAAACCACCTATCCAGGACTTGAATTGCAGTTGGCCATGTGGGAATTCAGCACCTCAACCACCGTATCACCTGCTGGCCCCTCTGAATTTTTTTTTTTAAGAATTATTTATTTAATTTAATTTATCATTATTTTAAAATTTGACCAGAGAGAGAGAAAGTGAGAAAGTAAGCCACCAGGTTCAGTCTTGAAGTATGGTCAACCATGGGAGTCTAGTGCCTTAACCACTATGCCACCTGCTGGACCCATCCTCCCCACTTTTTTTTCAATTATACAAAATTTCATATAGTCATATAAAAATAGAATAATATTATGAACTGAAACACCCATCATCCAGCTTCAACCAAACCAACATTTGACTGCAGGTGTTTTTTGGTTTCTTTTTTTTTTTTTTTTGAGAGGTTTTCGCTATAGGGCATGTGCTCTCGCCAGACAGACAGAGAGAGAGAGACATAGAGACAGAAAGTGAGAAATCACCCCCCAGGGAGGATGGTCATGTCTCAATCCCTTCTCCTCCATTCTCCTCACGGGATCTTGGGCATGCACGCACATGCGCCTGGCGTGAGTTTTAAGCCACCGGGTCCAGGACGCGAACCGCAGTCGACTATGTGGGAGTCCAGCGACATAGCCATTACGCTAACTGCTGGTTCCCTGGTTTTGTTTTTAATAAATGAAGATGAGTTTATTCAGGCCAAAATGAGGATGGTTGTCTAGAGTCAGAGTATCACAGCTGCCCTGTATGACACGTGCTGAATTCTTACAGAATATAGGGTCATTTTAAAGGCAAAATCTCACTTGACTGTGGGTGTTTTAAGCAGAGGATAGATGGCTACTTTGGGGGGAGATAGTTAAGAGGATTTAAATATTGGATTCACTCCTTTCTTCCTGGAGAGTTAGTGACTCAGAGTCCCCGGGCTAAATGAACAGTGACTTGTCTTTCAGAGTGACTGATGTCTAGCAATGCTTCTGTCGATCACCCCCAGGATGGGGCTGGGTAATTGTAGAGGCTGACAGAGGCTCTCTCCCTCCTTCTCTTCCTCTTGTCTGCCTGTTGTCAGGTCAGCTGGGAATATGGGAGCTGCTCAGCTCCAAGCAGTAGCAGTAGGCCAATTAGAGTGTTAGAGCTGACCTCTCCAAGGGAGTCTAGGTTGTAAAAGCTTTTAAACTCCTTAATTTTGCATTAATGAGAATAAATGTCCTTTTAATACTAAAACCCTACCCAAAGAGGACAGTAGAGATCTAATGATTGTGGTCTGGTCACACGCCTTCCTTTCTGCCTGTCTCCTAGACTCTGTAACAACCACACAAACCATCAGCCACAGCATTGGAAAGAGCTGCTTAATATTTCATCGAGCCAGCCCACATGGCTTCTAGTTTGGTTTTCTGTTTCTGGGAAGGAAGAAAGCCACTGTTTGCTGATGATGGTATCCGCTTAGTAGACTCAAATGAAATCATCTCTGGGATCAAGTTGTGCCACTTTTAATGGCAGCCTTAATCCAGTTTGGTTCCAGTACCTACAACATAGAAGGCCCTGTGCTGGGCCCCATGGGAAATATAGAAATGAGCGAATGAAGCCTTTACTTTTGAGAACACAGTCAACACAGACAGGCACCAGTAACTTGAGCAGTGAGCTAAGTGCTTCACTGAGGGCTCAGGCGAGCAAGTTGGAGCATAGGGAATGATTCGCATCTTTTGAGAGGCCTGTGGTTACGCCTGCTTCCAGACTCCATTTTCAGGCTCAGTAAAAGCAGGAGAGAAATGGGTATCGTAAAACAAAGCTAAAAGGCAAGCAGCAGACTGTGAGGAAATATTTTCCAGTGCCTAGGAGATAGAGGACGGTCAGTACCTATAAAGAACCAATAACTAAGGAAGGGACAGATGGCCCTATGGAAAAATGGGCAAAGGATACTAAGAGTCTATTTCTCAGAGAGGAAACACAAATGGCCAATCAAAGTATACACAGAGGCTCACTGTTACTGATAGAGAAGTACAGCTGAAAGCAACAATGAGGAATCATTTTCCGCTCATTGGATTGTAAGAGATCAAAAAGTTTGGTGGTTTCAAGAGTTGGTAAAGGGGGTTAAAACTGATTCTTTTCTTTTTCTTTTTCTTTTCTTTCCTTTTTTTTTGAGAGATTTTCACTACAGGGTGCATGCATTCCCCAGAGAGACAGAGAGAAAGTTAGAAATCACCCCCCAGGGGAGTGGCCATGCCACAATCCCTTCTCCTCTTAAAAGTAGGGACCAGCTCCTCTCAGGATCTTGGGTACTCACACACATGCACCTGGCGTGAGTCTTAAGCCGCCGGGTCTGGGACTTAAACTGCAGTCAACTACATGGGAGTCCAATGACATAACTATTACGCCATCTGCTGGTCCCCAAATTGGTTATTTTCAGTACCGTTGGTTGGTAATGTGAGTAAAGCTGCCTCGGAGAGCAATTTGGCAGAGCCTCTTAAAAATAAGATAGCCAATAGGGACCAGCAGGTAGTGTGGTGTTTAAGGCACTAGGCTTCCATACGGCCAGCTGTAGTATGAGCCCTGGACTTGGTGGCTTGAAAATCATGCTGGGTAAAGTCTCTTCACAATCTAAATGATGTATAGCAATTTAATGTATGAATAATAATAATAAAAGTAATTATAGCTAAAACAAGACTGGCCATGAGTTTACCACCATTTGAAATGAGGGATGGGTACTGGGGTTTTTCTGTACTAATCTCTGCTTTTCTCTATGTTTGACTTTTCCACAGTAAAAACCTTTAAAAAAGGGAAAAAAAAAAA